AAAGGTATAATGTAAGGGATGTGGAAGGACAGGGGAGGGGCGTTTAACAGTGAGCATTGGGAATGGGACAAATTGTGGGACAGGAAAGGGTCTCAGAGACCCTGTGACGTGTTGAACAAATGATGCTAAATGTTGGTGAGAAATATGTAGGTTGACTTTTTAATTGTTAAATACAGAATTTTATTTTCTACAATTCCATGTTGGGAGGAATCTCACTTAATATTGGCTGGATAAAATTAAATTAATGTACCAGGTTTATAGTCAGGAATTAACGGTGATCTATTGCCTTCACCTCTAAACCTGAGGGGGTAATTTGATATTTGGAACATTGGTAGTAATTTGAAATAGAAAAGACTAAATAAAGTGACCTTTGAATTAAAATGGGTCCAGAAGATTGTGTATTTTTAATTAAAATATGCAATTAAAATTTTAATTATAGTATGCTATTAAAAGCCATGTAGGTGGCAAGGGAACGGCTGCTGCTTTGAATTAATGCACAGTTTGGGATAAATTGGAGTTTACTGTGTGCTTCCCATGAGCACCTTGTCACTAAACAGATTCTATTCCTGCTTTCTTCTCCCAGCTCTGACCCCCACACGGCTCTCAATGGGCCTCAGTCCCATTCAGAGGGCCCTTGGAGTGTTTCAGCTCTGTGCTTTCGATCACTTGACCATGGTGCTAAGCAGCTTGTTTATAACTGTTCTCCTTCTGCCAGGAGCAGTTTATAAGTGATTTTTCTGTCTCTTGTGGAGAAGCTATCCTCTTCTGCAGCACACAGTTAGATTTAAAATAGGAGGGTGCAAAACAAAAGGCATTCAGACACATGCTGTACAGAATACTGCGTGCTGAAGTGTGGTGTTGACCTGGAGTTTTCAGTACCTGCGTGAAGGTCTTAGGCCGTGTGACTGTTCAGATAGCTTCCTCCATAGTGAAGTTCTGGAATCCCTGCTATGGCTGTGAGGACCAAGGCTGTGATTAATGGTTCCGAAATCCCTAAGAGCATGGCCCCACAGATAGCTTGTGAGGATAGCTGGGGGCGAGTGGTTTTGACCTTATTCTTGATGTTGAGTTACCAGAGGAATGTTTTGACTTGAAAAGACAGAATTTATTTGTCTTGAAGGCTTTTTTGGGTGAGCCTTAGCTTTGTCACTTTCTTCGGAATTTTCTTTTGATTATGATGCTTTCCATAATTGTTACACTTGGAATTTAAATGTAGAGCTTTATAAGCTTTTTAAAGATGGGATTCTTGGTTTTGGGATTGTCAGTATGCACATGCTAAATTCAGAATAGCTTAAAAAATAGATTTGGAGGATATGGATCAATGATTCTTGGTTTCCAAGCCTTTCCTGGTGGTTTGTGACTGTTACTAGCTGATGAATACAAAAGCAGGAAAAAGCAGATCAAGGCTAAATATTTTTTCTTGATGTTTGATTTGCTACTGCTTTAAAAAAAAATCTGCACTCACTTATCATAACCTGAAATAGACAGTATATAAATAAGGTGCCTTTACGTTGTCATAGGAATGAATAATAGCATAGAAATTCATGTATAGTGAAACTGACATTTGCACAAGAATTACATTTGTCTCAAAACAACTTTTTGTGGTAGAGCCCTGTTAGAAAATACCTGGTTTACATTCTCAGGCGTCCTGAGAATGGTCTGGGTTTAGATATAAACTAGTTGTCAATTGAATGGAGAAGAGCATAGCATTCAAGATTCCTGGATTCACGTGTGACCTCTACTTCCTGCCTGCTTTTTTGATTTGAGGAAGCTAATTGACTTTGCCCAGCTTTTAGGGAACATTTCTTTTTCAAGAGAGAAGAATGTGAGTATGTCCCATGATCAGTGTGAGGCTGAAATTAAATAGTAAAACACTACACAGCTGAAAGGTGAGAATGAGGAGAGTCTTGTCCATCTTGGTATCAACTGTGATGCCTTTATATATTCTAGGCTTCTGATACTTTTGCTGACTTGATTAAACTCTCTTTAAAATGGAAACCTGTGAAGTTCTGAACTTCCTTGTAGTTCACAATGCCAACACATGAATGCATCTACTACAGTGGATTTAGGAATGCAGCAAATACCTCCTTTCATATTACTTGGCTTGGGATAGTAGTGACAGTTTGTTTACCTTAAACACTAATTGATGGGTGTTGCTCTTCCTAATAATTCCACTAAGCAAATTAGTACCTTTGTGGCAGAGAGTTCATTTGGGGATAAATATTGTTTGAGTGTTCTCAATTTCCAGTAGTTGACATCAGGCTGATTCATCGTCACAGCTAGCTATATTTGCCTGAGGGGGTCAGGTCAGAGACCCATTCAGTGAATGGACCATCTGATGGTGACATGGTTGATAACAACTTTGGTTAAATGGGATAACACTGCTGCTTCTCTCATTCGTTCATTTAGGAAACTTTTGAGAACCGACAGTGTGCTAGGAATGAGAGCTCAGAGGCCAGCACAGGAGATGTCTAAGCAGGGACTCAACTTGGTAGGACAGGCTCTTCACTTTACCCGGTGACCCAACTTCAGCGGGCTCTGCTGTGCTGGAGAGTGACCTCAAGAGGCAATAGACTGTTTCTGTGTAGAAGAAAGACATCCACTTACACGTTAAAAATACATCTGTAAAAAGGCAGTCTTCCTTGCAGAGTCACTTCGTATGTATTTGGTCGCTCTCAGGGTTCCTGGAAGCCTTATTTGTAGCCTCACTTTATCTCTCACCATTAAAACTGTGATTCTCAACCTTGGCTCCATGTTAGAGTCACCAGTGTTTAAAAAACCTGTTATCAGTGCTTCTAAATAGACTGAAAAAAGAAAAATCTTTGGGAAAGGAATTCAGACATCCGTTTTTGTTTTTGTTCTTGTTCTTGTTTTTGTTTTTTCCTAAGCTCTGTAGATGATTCCATGGTGTACCAGGGTTGAGAAAGGGCTTTGATTAGAAGCTGCTAAAATACAGGTGTGAGGGTAGTGCGACTAGATAGGAGAAGTGGACCCGAGCTAGTACAACTGATAATTGGATTTATTTTGTTATAGAATAGCAGCGTGACAGAACCACTCAATGTCCGGTTTACCATTCCTCCTCCCCTTATATTTATCGTGTGTTTCTGGTGTAATTTTAAACGAACACATGTAAACTTTTTAGCATGGAGTAGATGTATGTTACTTTTCCTCACTTTATTTTTTGCCTAGAATGATCTACCTCCATCAATAGTGAGTGTTCTCGTCACTGCCTCAGCAACCTCATTGGGTAGGAGTTATCCACATTTTAGAAATAAGGAAGTTAACATCTCAGAGAGGTTACATAGCTTCTTCCAAGTCACGTAACTGGTAAACAACAGAGCCAGGATTAGAACTCTTGTGTCTATCTCCACAGCCTGAATTTTTTTGCATCATTAACTGCTTCCTTGAGCAGATTTTTTTTAATGGTCATCCAGTTTGAATCCTGCTCAGTGACAGTGGAACTGCCGCACGTTTCATAAGAGGGCCCTATTCATGCAGAAGACACATGATAAATGTCGAATTAGGAAAAAGCTGAATGCTTAAAAATACAGTGGTTTCACATATAACTTTTTAAAAATAGAACTGTGAGTAAAACAAAATCTCTGAATAGTGTGAGAAAAAATAATGAACTGAGTTAGTTTTAGCTCTCCCCTCACCCTCCTTAAAAAAAAACAACAAAGCAAAACAGGAAAAGAAATGCAATGTGATAAAAGGTGTAAGTTAGCAATGATTATCCCGAATAATGACAGTGGTGTTTCCATAACAAAATAACAAGTTTTCATGGTTATGGGTATTGTGTTTAGCCTTCTCTCTTGTTCTTTTTTCTTTTTGTTTGTTTTGATAGTTACAAGGAACCACATCAGGGTAACCAGGGTGGCCATTCTAAATATCTGTATTCATAAGCACTTGGATCCTAGGTGCCCCTTAAAAGGAAAAAATCCTTCCCTTGGCTATGAACTTGATGCATAAGTGGTATTTAATAAAAAGAATTTGGACCTTTAATGGGAATCTTCCAGGAGACCCTCAGTTGGTTTGGTTTGACTTTTGGTTAGGGACTGAACTTTTTTAATGTCCACTTTTATCACCATCTCTGTAGTGTATCTTGCCTTTTCAAACTGAGAAACTTTCCCTTAGTTGGAAAACTGAGACCTTTAGGATTAGCTTTACTTATGTGTGCATTCCATTGATTCCCATCTCTTGTGACTTCCTGTTTCTTGAGAGTCGGGACATCAGTGAGCCAACTCCACATTTTTTCAGTTTTGTTGTTTTTGTTTATGCTCTTTTTCTTTGCTTTCCATGTGTTCTCATGGGCTTGAGCATCCTCAGTGTAAATCTTAGTGTTTATATTTCCCTGTATTCCTTATCTAGGTTATTAGACCCCTTTTAGAAAATTGGATTCCGTTTATAAGAAGCTCTCCTCTAAAATGAATATACATGTATGCCTGCACACATGTAATTTACACGTACACACAGACATAACACTCAGGATTTTTCACCATTTTAAACTCTGAAGTAATTACTTGGGTAAAGGCTGTACATTTGTCAGGGTACTATGTACAGAACACTGACAGATTTTTGGTTGATGCTTTTTGCCTTCCAATTTTATGGGTAAGGAAGCTGAAGCTGAAAAAGTCGTGCCCGTGAAGCCCACACAGCAGCTTGGCGGAGACTTGCACCCACAGATTCTGAGGCTGAATGTTGTATTGCTGCTGGGTGCACTGACTCAGGCAGGACATGCACGATGAACACTCTGGGGAGGTGTGTTTTTTAAAACGGCGCAGCTTTGCCGAGTTCTAACTGATGTTTAAACTTGCAGATGTGGTAGACGGGAGATGAAAAGGGCCACATGCATATTTCTAGGAGAATTAATGTAGACTTCTTTTTACTCTTGTGAAAGTGTGCTGGTGTTAATGACAAGACCATATGCCAGAATGAAAGTGGATGTCTGTCATCAGTGGTGTAGAACTAATGTGTGCCTTTTTCCCCTTCCCTTTCATTAGGGCAGAGCTTGGGATATGGCTTTGTGAACTACATTGACCCTAAGGATGCAGAGAAAGCTATCAACACCCTGAATGGATTGAGACTTCAAACCAAAACAATAAAAGTATGTTAAAATTTTTTTTCTATCTACTTCCAGAACAGAGGTTAAAAAAATTAAGGTCTGCTTGTAGTTCTTTCCTTCATTCATTTTATGCCCGTGTAGACACTTCCACTGGGAGGCATAGCAGAATTCTTTTGTTTGTTGCATGGTGGAAGAAACTTGATTCATGAGTGCTACATGAGATCACTTGTGTATCAAAAAGGGACAGAGCAGCAACGTTCTTAGATAAGTACTTTATGAAGCCTGCTGAATTAAATCTCCTACCTCTATAGAGAGTTAACTTGCCCTATAACTTGAGGAAATCTTACACCATTTCTTCTTGTGCAAGGATCGACACTCTTTTTCTGTAAAGGACCAGGTAGTAAATGTGTTAGGCTTTGCAGGTCATATGGTCTCTGTCACAGCTTCTCAGCTCTGCCCTTAGAGCATGAAAGCAGACAGCCACCACATGAAGCAATAGATGTGGCTGTGATCCTATAAAACTTTATTAATGGACACTGAAATTTGAATTTCGTGTAATCGTCATGTGTCACAAAAATAAAAATTTTGTCTCAATTACTTAAAAATGTAAAAATCATCATTAGCTCTCAGGTCACAGAAAAACAGCTCCTTGGACTATAATTTGACTATTCTAGCAGATTCAGCTTACTGATGTAACTTACTTGTAAGAGCATACACGCCACACAGGTTATTTTTCCTGTTACGTTTTTCTTTTTCAAGACAAATGGTAAATAATTTGGGGGATGTTTTTCCACTCGTGTATTTTCAAAATTTTGATATAGATTCTCTGGGACAATTGGATTAATCCAGTCTGCAGTGTAGGTTTCTTTACCTTTCGAAAATAAAAGGGATATAGCCTCTGGCAAACTCTTAGTACACATGCCATCAATTTCCGCTCTGTTGCCCGGTGCAGACACTGCCTATGAATCATGGCAGTCTTTCTCACCGAGCTTGGATGTGGCTTCCAAGTATTTTTCAAAATAGTGTTGCAGACAACCTCTATCAATTGACTCAAGTTGCAACCTATTTTCCACCCTTGATTTAAGAAGTCAGCTCAGACTATAGCCTGAAGTGGTGAGAGGAAGTTAGTCAAGGCTAACTGTGGCATCCGTCTTGCTTAGAGACTTGTCGAGAAGATTTCTGCTCATTTTTCCAGTTATCTGGAAATGCAGTGTCATCTCTGTGCTTAGAAGTTACTTCTTTCAGATTTGTCAGTTAAGGTAATTCATTAGCCCTGGGTAGTTTTGACATCTCATTCTTTATGTTTATTGGCCGGGAGGAAAAATGCCTCCCACCTCTGTCTTATCTGAAGGAAACTGTATGCAGAGGCCCCCAAATGTACTTCGATGTGAGATGTCCAAGATTCTACATGTTTCTTGGTCAAGAAAATGCCGTACGAAATGTCTGATTCATCCTCTAATCAGAAAATGAACTGGTTACTAGGCTGTCAAAGTTTGAAGAAAAGATTTCTAACACATTCTAAGATCACAAAGACTTAAGTTTGTTTTGCCCTTGGTTTTTCAACCTGAGCTATTTATTCTAACTGTCTATACTTCTCTGCATACTCTGTGCCACATAGATAAACCTTTTTATAATACTGTTAAAGTGTAATAATCAAGTGTTCTTAAAAAGGAGACATCTCATGTCCAGTTACCTTCAGATTGTTTTTTTTTTGGGTGCTCTTTCCTCCTGCAGATTTTCATGAGCCTCCCCAACTTAAACTGATTTCAGGATTGCTACTTATCTTAGTTTTGAGGTCCTGCATTATGGTTAAGGAGAAAATGGAATAGATGGTTGGATTGACGGACCCTTTTCTACATTCCAGAAATAACCACCCTCATTTCATTCTAGTGAGTCAGTTCTTTTGCAGTAAGGTCCACAAGGAGGAAAGAAGTGCAGGGAAAGCAGGTCACCATAGAGGAAATGTCCATGGCCCACAGAGAGACCATTGGTGACAGCTGCTCCTCACTGTCCCTCACCCCACCTTCTCTTCAGGGCCCAGCTGCTCGGACAGAGTACGTGGAAGAAAGGACAGTAACGCCTCGTGGCTTTTACACTGTGACATCTGCTACTTCTTTTTGGATTTTCTAAGATGGGGGTGAGGACAGTCGGTAAGCAGCAGGCTACTTCTTTCCCTGCCCCCATTCGGTTCCTGTAAAAATACAAGATAACAGCTGGTATCCTCAATTTGGCCCAGTTTCTCTGAAGCAAAGCAGACCATTTTCCAAAACTACGCAGCACCGTTTTTGTCTGTCAGTTCATTGTGTGTGTGTGTGTGTGTTTTCTTATTTTCAATCAGACTTGTGTTCTTATGCCACATCTTGAGCTAGGTTATTCCTAGTGTTCACTGCGTTAAAGTACCTTTGGGAAGCTGTATCTAAGCCTTTCCATTCCCTGTTCTGTTGATTAGTCTCTTTTTTCCTTCCTCCAGTCCATCCAAGCTAATCTTACAAAAGCACCACTTTCCTCATATTCCTTCTCCCTCAAAATTCTCTCATATTGCCCTAAGTTTGACATCATTTGGCTCAACTTCTGGGTGACCCAGTGTTACTACCGTTCTCCACAGCAGTCAGACTGGTTCTTCACTTGCAAGCTGATCCTATTCCCGGCCTCTGCACGTATGCTCACGTGGTTCCTACTTCCTGGCGTATTCTTTCCCACTCAGTTTAATAGCGGCCATCCCATGTCTTCTGGAACCCATCTGTAGTTCTCTCTTCAGCTGCTGCCTTCCTGGGTTGTTCTAACTCAGGCTGGGTTCCCCTCTTCTTTGAAATATATTCTCCTTTACCCATGATGAACTATGGAAGTTTCAGGGTTGAAGAGACCCATATATGATTTAGATTTAAGCACTGCTGTCTGCTCCCAGTGAAAGACTGAGACCCGGGTAGTGATCATAGAGTTTAGCTTAGGCCAGGCAGTTGAGGACAGAGCTGTGACTCAGATCCTTGCCTTTTGACACCTGCCCTAAAACTCTTGCTGTGACACCTTGCTTTCCTTCAGAAAGCTGCAGTAGGTGAATTCACATGTATGTCATAAACCAGTGTACAGGTGTTTGTGCACTCCTCAAGTTCAGGTTTCTGTTATGTCTTCAGAGCCACCTAGCATTTAATAGGCATTTGCTAGAATTGCTAGTCAATGGCATATTGAAACAGTGAATCAAGTGCTGTGAAAGGTGGTTTATTTAGCAATTTCTCCTGAGGCTTCCTAATAGCATTACCCCAGTAGAGTTTTGTACAGTAGATGGATGGTATATTGAATAAATAACGAATACTCAGTATTTCTGCAGTGAGTGAGGCGGAGCCCCTCAGGCACTGTGAAATCTTAAAGCAGGTATTCCCAAACTTGGTGGCATCAAAATCACAAGATGAGTGGGTTAGAAATACAGGTTCTAGGTCCCACTTCATACCTACTCGATCAGGGTTTAGAGGTGAGGCACAGGAGTCTCTTTCTCAATATGCTTCCCAGATAATTTTGACAGCGAGTCTAAGACTTAGCACTTAGGAACCACCAAAATTGTATGCTTTTTGAACAGGTGGGTTTTCTGAATACTTGGTATTTTTGCATCATTGCATTTTGGTTTGTTTTCATCTTTTACCTTTGGTAATCTTCTGATGGATAATTCTCTGAGCTGGAATATATCATGGTTTTTTGTTTTGTGTTGTTTGTTTTTTTTGAGCATGAAAAATGACAGTTTAGCATTCGGAGTAAAAAGTAGTTCATCCAGGCTTCACTTTTTAAAAGGTGTGTCTTAGAAATTAGAAAAACTTAGTATGTTCACTTCATGTTATGAAGGGATTTATTGATTATTAGTACTAGCATTCACAGGTTAAAGTTTCATGGTGATTATTCTTTTCTCTCAAGGATCACTTCTTTTCCTGGTTGGGTCAGCGTCCCAGCAGCTCACGTTGCTGATGGTGATGTCACACAGCCTTGAACTGCATGGGAGGCAGTCCTAATGGGAAAAGCCTGCCTGTGTTGTCCTGAGTAATCAGCTGGTGAATAAACTGAATATTACAAAATGTTTGTAACTTCTGATGTTAGAGAGGGTAGTAAAATGATAGTATATGCACAGTTCTTTCCGCTCCTTAAGGAAGGTGTATTTTGTTGCTTGGGTTAATGGTATCGGACTTAAATTCATGATTAGCAGGGTGAAATCATTTATTTCCAAAAGTACTTACAGACTCCCCTGCCCCACCCCACATCAAGTACTGTGAGTTGGCGATTATCACATACACAGTAAAAGGGAAATCTCTCAACTTCTCCCCCTCCTACAGTGGACCCAGAAAGCTTTATTATTCCAGAAAGTGGGCTTGCCCTATCTGAAAGTAGGAGGAGCTGTTATCTCGAGGAATGGAACTTTTCATTGCTATTGATAGATACTATCCCTAGAAATCCGTGTCTTCTCTCCCCTGCAAAAGAAAAAAACTGCCTGGAAATACTGCCACCATAGAAAAACTGCCTAAATTTGGTTTAGATTAAGTAATTTTTTTCTTAATCATTCAGACATAGGAGGAAATCTTACCTTCGCTTAAAAATTATTGATATACATTAATGTGAAATGTCTCATATTAAAAATAAACTCCCATTTAAGCCCGTATGGAGAAGCTTGTAAAAAATTGGAATATTAATTATAAATAGTAGTATCTATCCCTGAAAGTGTTGACTTTGTTAGAGAGCAGTTAAATAAAGCTTCATGAATCTTTATTCTAAGCTACCGTATTGCTTTTAATTTTTGTTAAATTTATACGTTTTCCTAACTAGCTTTTCCTTTTCTCAGTAAATGTCACATTTGCAGACTTTTTTCTGTGTGGCTTGATTTATATCCCTAATATAGGAGGAGTATAGAACCACAGTTCTGAAATCTTACCGTCCCTAATGTTGTATAGGTGATTTACCTGGCTCTGTAATCTTGGACTTGTTTTTTAACCTTTTAAGTTTCTATTTACATCTGTAAAATCTTTGAAATTAATTAATTTACTCATCCCTGAGTGTTTATTACCTTA